AAAGGGCCCGCGCAGTCACTGCGCCAATCATAGAGGTATAAGCTTTATGCCAATAGCGTCAAAGCTGTTGGCGTCCGTCATTCTCCGCCGATTTTACACTGCTTGAGGAGCAGGGTTTCGCGACGGTCGTGAATGTATCAATCATATCTTCACCCTCCGAGAGCTGCTAGAGCACTGTCATGCCTATCAAAGACCAACGATCATTGTATTCTTAGACATCCGCGCGGCCTTCGACTCTGTCTATAGGACCCTACCAAGGAACTGTTTGTTGAGGAATGGAGTACCAGAGAAGAACGCGTCGATCCTCAACCAGTGGTATCGTCATACTTCCTTTCGGGTTAGGGCCTATGGCCATTTTTAGCCACCCTTTGCAGTCTTAAGTGGAGCTCGACAAAGCTGCCCCATTCTTTTTCAACTTCGTCATAGAGCATTTTCTGCAGAATGCTTTGTTCGAACCAGCAAATGGTGGAGTCAAACTCCTCCCAGGGAATGCAGTCTTTAACTTAGAATATGCCGATGACATCAACTGGCTGGGTGACAACACACAGGCAGTCCAACACACTTTGAACCGCTTGGCGATAGAGGCATCCAGATATGGTATGTGCTTTGCGCCGTCAAAATGCAGTGCTTGTTCAAGACTGGCAGGAGCATGTACCTGCACTCACCTTCTGTGGTGATCAGCTAGAAGTAGTTGAGAGCTTTAAGTACCTCACGAGCTTGGTCATAGCTGGTGTTGGAGAGATCACATCACGAATAGCCCAAGAGATGAGGATTGTCGTTGGTTAGAGACACTGCCTGTGGAAATGCCATAAAAGGCGATAAACTAACACAAACAAATTATCAGAAAAGTGTACGGTGAAAAAAATTGTCATTCTCGTTATTCAACTCATACGTCTGAACCCTTACAACTTCCATGTATCCCAACCCCCGTGTTCTGCTATTGTTGCGGCGATATCAAGCTTGCTCGCAAGCCGGTGACATATATATCTTGCACAAACTTAACAGTCATCTACCTCACCGTAACTTGTTCGTTGTTGCGGCTTCGTGCGGAAGAAAATTAGATAGAGGCTAGCAGCTGACGGTACACAAAAAACGCACAGAGCGATTAGATGCATTGGATGCCTCTTCTCTTCCAGGATGGTGTCCGCAACTGGCTGACTGGAGATGTTGAAAGACTAACGAACTGTCGGTAGTGTTGCCACGATAAATTCGTGATATGTGCATACACAGTTAGACTGTATACGGTAAGTGCTTTCTCCTTCCAGTCCACGTGCATTCCCCATCAACCTGACTCATTCGACAAGATAAATAAAGTTCCCTGCATTGTATTTCGCCGAGTTACGATGAGTTAACCTGATTAAAGACAAACCGTGCATGTGACAGACAGAAAACTGCCAGAGAGACTGGATTCGGTCAGAATCAATGAATTGATCGATTATTCGATTAAACAATCACTTTCATTAAGTAAATGAATTTTTGCGGGCGTTGGCACGCGCGCAGAAAAATACAGCGGTCCGAAATGATACAATTTTGCGGTCAGCGAGACAACGTTAGTAATCGGGTAATTTAGTGGAGGGAGGCTCGGAATGCGTCTTTCCGTTTGCGTTTGTGCGTCTGCCCATCCGGGGTTGAGAGATTGAGAACAGAGATAAACCAAGATCATGGGAGAGCAGTAATAATCGATCACTCAGCTCATGTGCGCATATGCTCTTTTCTTTAGAAGGTTAGGAAAGACCACAGAAACAGCCGACAGGAGGAAGCAGAGTGAGAACGAGACTGGACAACCGGAACAAAACAAGCGATAAGAAAAAAACAGTTCTTGCAAGATAGGACAGGGGAAGGTTAGATCAGGAATAAATAAAAATAAAGCCCGAGAATCACAACCCAGTGGGACCAGAGAAACAAAATGTTTTGATCCGACGGACAAACCGACACAGTGGTCGGGAAAATGAGATTCAAAGATTCTACAATTTCGCAACGACATTTGTGGTTTTGGGTATGTCCAATTAGACAGGTGGTGAATGCACAAATCAACGTTAGCGAGGATGCCTGGACGGTTCAGACGACGACGGGCGGTGGGACCACGGGACCAAACAACTCTACGATGTGTTGCAAACAGAAGTCCACGCATGGGGCCTGAACAGACGTGAGCATGCCCAGATGCTCTACCTCCGTGTCCGAACGGATCAAATTCGGACCGAATACAATAGCGAGTTTGTGTGAGTGCATCTGATTCACTTCGGAATGTTTTAATACTCTGCAAACGGGAGCAGCGAGGGTTGGGAGCGCGATGGGGTGCGGGGAACAGTGGACGAGACCATGTGCAACAGATCGAGAGAATGGGACAATGGAGGAAGGGATAAAGGATTGAGAAGAAAGCGATGGCGACGGTTCAGAATGAACTATGGGGTAATTCGTATAATCGACTATAGGTACCAGGATTTCGATAACACATACAAGTTTCATACTACATCAGAGCAAGACCAGGACGATATCAATGGTCAGTGTGTCCAATTAACGCATGTTCAAGCATCAGCCACATAAATACAATGCGTACATCCCATTAAATTATTTGGAGTCTGCTTGACTAACATCATCGATGCAACGACGTTATGTGAATTTGAAGTGGACAACTCATGCCTGTTTAATGAGTTTACCAGAGTCCGGAAAATTACAACAAAGCGAGTCGACGGTACTCAAGGAACACCTGTAATTTGAATTACATTTATGGTTTGAAGATCACCATTTGCAAAACCAGCAATCATGTGAATTCACTCAGAGAAGATGCTTATAGTAACAGCAAAGGAAATAATCTGGTATTTGTCGTTGTATTAACGGTAAATATTTAAGTGCTAGCGACCCGGAGAGAAAACTCACGGTGAATTCCAGAATGCACTGGATGGCTAATACGGAGAATGTCTAATAAGTTGATCAATACGTATCAGTGGAGCAACTGAATTAAATTTCATTAATATCGGCGGTGGCCAATTGATATTGATCGAAATTACATTGCCTTTGAGGTTGTATGTTTAAATTCCAACATCATCGAACTTTCCCATCTCGCGCATTCTTTGTTCATAAAAACTTGATCGTATGGAAAATTTTAACAAAAAAGTTCACGGATAAATATTCCAGCGTACCACAACGGCAAGTACCTACGGTCATTGCTTGTAATGTAAACTATTGTGGAAACAAACACGTAGTCCAACTGTGCGGAAAATCACCTAGCATGCGCACCGATCCACTTACCTATAAAGATGATGGAATAGCACCCGAGCCGTTGCGATATGTGGAGAGGGCATAGAGGAGATCATTTCTTGCAAGGCGGCCAAAGTAGTCGCCTCGTCAGCTTTTACAGCTGAGTATAAAAAAGCGGGGGCAGTACAAGACAGAGGAGAGAGCAGAATGAAACCAGCAAGTAAGAATGACGATTACGTTAGCAAATGAGTAAGAGGACAAGCTAAATACTGAGACCAAAATAAAACAGCCCAAGGCAAACAACCCGTTAATCGACTGTCAGCATTCTGATCACCAGAACCATCAACAGATGCACATTTCGTAATCTAACCACGAGAAATTCACCCATTATCAGTTACTGCAGATAACAACTAGTTCAATTATAAAAGTAGCTGACCATAAAAAATATCAAGTACAAGCGACCCACGCATTTGTGTTATTTGAATACAGTTCTCCATTCACATTCGAAAACTTGAACTTGTGCAGAGGAACGATTGATGCAATCCAAGAACGAGCAAAAAGAGGAACCGTCATATTGAGGCAAACGATAAACGAAAACCTAAGGTAACTGGTGGAGGAGAGAAACACTTGGGGCCTCCAAACCAACCATGAACTGCCGGTTTCAACAATTAAGATTCTTGGATGTCACTGCTACTCAATGGTAACTAACTGGGGGCACTTGGGACGTACTCCAAAGACAATGCAACTTGTGAATGTTCAGCACTCCGAACGGTGTTTGATCAGTATTAGGAAACACCATATAAATAACCTCAGTATTAATCTCGTAGTTATTTTACCGAATTCACATGGTGCCACGATAACAAGTCTTGAAACACCGACAGTTTTTCGCATCCCTTCATTAAAGTCATGCCAATATTCTATGGACCATTGCGTGGGTTACCTTGACATTAGACGTGATAGTCATCAAAGGTTTTAATGAAGACCGGTTGAAATTCTTCGTAAAAGGGGGATATGCTAATATTTGCTAAACATCACAACTGTGTCGGTTCAGAAACTCCATGTGAAAACAGCATGATTTTCATTGTGGAAGACCATAAGATGTTTTGCGAAAACTAAAAATTTGTTTTCAAAGAAATGAGTGGACTGAAAAGCCACAAAGCACTGGACGGCAGTTTCGAGCTCACTGATTCTCACTAGCAGTGCGAAGCCTTCGACCAAACCCGGGAACTCACAGATAGGTTGCAGGTATTCTACTCACCTGACCACCAAACAAATGATCATAAAATTTTTCATTTTGCCTTCACATGAGATGTGTTGGGTCTATAGGTTTGCACAGTTGATGAGACAATCAGGTGCAGTTCAGATCCCATTACAATGGCGAACTTTTGGGGCATTCTAACTCGAAGGCTATCGCAACCGGAGAATGTATGAATCGGAGGATAAACTAGAGACCGATCACAAAACGGAAACAATTCTAGTTTCAGAGCCTCGTAGGTGTGCTACTAAGATATATGGAGGTTTTGAAACGGAACGGAGGGCCAAAAGAAATATTAATGTGCCTTATTATCATCGAGACCCAGGGGTAGGGCAGAATACTACAGTAAGCAGTTTGAAGGGCCTCGTTTCAATAGATTGATAGAACAGTTTACTCCAAAAGACAATGAGTGAACCACCGTAAACTAGTGTCCGATTGGACAACGGTACAGATGATCCTTCTTATCCATGTTAATGTCTTTTTGTCCAAACGAGTTGAAGATTCACGCATTCGGGAAGTTTTACATGTTGGTTACGCTCCCAAAAAGTGACGTGAAATGGGAGTTCTCCGAATCCTCTAGATACGTTGATCAAATGTAGATTATCAGCCTAGTTATTGACCTGGACGTTGTTATCTCTGAATAGAATAACAAATAATAAAGTAAAAAAGTCGATTATCTTTGTCACGCAGCACTGGAACTACTAAAGACAATCATATGAACTTCATCACATAAAAGCATGGTGCATTGACGCTTAAAGCGGAGATTCAGAGACAAAAGCCAGAGCAGAGAGTGGGTTAGAGCGAACTCCGCTTACCGAATAACTTCTTCAGTTTTGGGAACAAATCATAGGTGAACAGGGGTTCTTTGAGTTCACGGAAGAATAGCTTCAAACCGCCGGCCAGTACGTCTAGACTCCATTTTTCGGAATTCAGGGAATAATTATCTACATGAGATTATAAACAATAAAACGATAAATGTGAAGATTTCAAATGTAAACAAGCTGGTAAAATCTCCGCGATTGGATGAATTATAATAAATGGATAAAAGTGTCTCAAAGGTGTGCATGCCTTAGATGAATGCGTACACTATCGTAGTTTCTTACAGTGCATTCACGTTGGGCCTATCAGAGTGGAACTATGTGTTCTAACACCCGCATGAAAAGTACTCTTCTGTAGAGAAGATGAAAAGAAAGGATGACATGGACTTGAGCTGACGGGATCACTTTTCAGGGGTTTGATTAAAAAATGGCCAATGCTTATTTTACCGAGGCAACTCATTTTCATTAAAATCATGGAGTAAGCTGTTATTTTTCAGTGCAAGCTGTTCTGTTACTTGAACCGGAGGCAGTTCCTTGAGGTACACATGGATTTAGCGTAGTTTATATGCACATAATATGTTCTTCAGAATGATACTCTTTCTAAAAAATAAGACTGTTTGATCAAAATCGAAATAGCGCTCCCCGTCGTTTGCACAATTCGCATACTATTTTTCATTGTTTTCTGGAATTTTGGGAGAATTAACGATAGATAAAGCCCTGGTCACTTTGCAATGATAAAAAATGCAATCGAACGTGATGGTTACTTAGTTCACTGTTGTTTGGCACATTCCTTTTTCAAGGTTAGCGTCTACAAATGAGACAAATGAGACGGAACGGTATAAGAAGACAGCACTTGGTAGATTAACAAGTGCAGTAGCCACATTCGGTATGTGCTTTGCACCTTCAAAGTGCAAAGTGATGCTGCAGGACTGGGTTTCGTCTACGCCCGCTGACACTAAATGGCCAGGATTTAGTTGTGGTGGGTTAGCAACGTGGAGGTAAGCCGTCGTGTGTTTGGGAGTCTGTCAGGTATAAACCTGCTAGCACACCGAATTCAGATTACCAGGCTTCGTTGGCTAGGGCACGTATTGCGTATGCCCAGCCATCGTCTGCCGCACCGCGCTTTATTCGCTGTGGCTAATCCGAGCTGGAGGAAACCACGCGGAGGTCAACAGATGACGTGGAGGCGAGGCATGAAGAAATGCACAGAGCCATTAGGTAGAGTAGGTGTCTCTCGCCTTCCAGGTTGGGGTCCGGAAGACTCCACAACTGGTTGGTTGGAGATACTGAAAGATATGGCAGCGAACTGGCAGCAGTGGCGTTCTTGTTGTCGTTTCTTATCAG